AAAAAAAACTGCATTTCCGCTCAGGAAAAAAGAAAAAATGCTCCCTACTTTTTCACGTAATTGGGATTTCAATCAGAAGATAACAACAACACCTCGACGACAAAAGAATGCTGCAGTACGGTACGTTTTTCCTCAGACCTACAGATGGGATCCTGTGTACAAATTCATGTAACAGGCGCGTAATGTCATACTTTCAAAACACGAGTCGTGACAGGGGCCATACTCGGGATGGCTCCTATTCGTGACGATTCCTTTTTCCTTACACCACGCACCTCACACGTCGCACGTGAGGAAACTTTTATCAAGGTTTATAAAAATCTCACATAGACAACCCACGTTTAACCAAACACGTGTTACTACTCAACAGCACCGAAGCTCTCTTAGTGTTCCTTTCAAGAAAGAATCCGAGCATTAAGTTTCGATAACCTGTTTCGGAAAAGCTTCGACCCGGAAATTTTGGTGTTGTTGTGCGGTACCCCTATAAACTTATAATTTTTGACCAAAATATGTGTTTTTTTGATACTCTATTTCAGACCTGACCCAAACATTAATCCCCTAATTCAGACTTCTGAACTAATTTAGTATAAACCTGCAATCCTTCTTTCACGAATGCCGTTCTCTTATTGGCTCCGTTACTCACTATCTATTCTGTTGTAGATAATGAGCAGCCTAGCAGTGTGCGGTTGTTAACAATTCAAATGGCGGCCGCTTCATGGCGTTTTCAGTCGATGTGTCTGTGAAGAAGATAGTAGATTTATACTAAAACAATTCGATTCTTCGCTCGATTTCTAAGCGCGATTAAAATCTCGAGCTCATAATCTAATTGTTAATTAATATACACGTCTCCGGCTCAGGTAACCAGAAATGGCTTTAATTGGCGTGAACATTTGTGAAGAGGAGTCGAAGAGGCTTGCAATTCTTCAGTTGTAATGGGTCATATTATTATTAACTAGCCAGAGTGCAAAAGATCCAAATCTATACCCTATTTCAGGCCAAGATCGCTCGAATACCATACCCTTGGCGCCGCACATAGCTATTTAGTTGATGTAAGGGAGTATCTCCTTCCCTCTCCACTGGTTTTCAAACATAACCCTGACGTTACCTTGGCAGGAGTAAAAGATATTTTATGTTCCGTACACACTTCAAGTTTACAGAATCATTTCGGTCCGAAGACATCAGTGTTATACATTAGCGATCAACTCTAGCAACCTTCGGAGAGAACTTTAAATAGCAGCATCACGAATTAAATTTGAGGAAACGCTTTTTCAGAATGTTAAGTAATCGGAATATTTACCTGCATGGGCAAGTTCATTTACACAACTTGCGACATCTACAAATTACTTTTTTGAAATAGAATTCAAGTTTCGGTTTTTTTGTTGTGCAAATCTTAAAAATATGAATTTATAAACGCGAGAAACTAGTATAAAAACAAGCCGTTCAGCCCTAGGGGCCGTTAAATAATTTTATGCTGTGACTAGAGACCTCCGTGTGATATAATATTGATATTCTGCACAATGGCAATACCTTTTTTTTTTATATATATTTTTCTTTTGTTGCATTGCAACTTAAAATGTCAAAATGCGACGACTGACTTGTCAATGATTCTGACATGAAGCGCAATACAGCTTTACCTATACAAGAAATTGCCCTTTTTATTTTATAAAAACAACGTCATAGACGAAAAAAATTAAAATATTCACAGCTTAAAGCGGCATTCCATATTTTATTTATTTTCTAAGTGGGTAGAATTTTCCTGTACCGCCTGGAATAATTTACCGAATTATTTAAAATAAAGTTAGTATATCAAAAGCAAAGCCTTCGTCTTAATCTACTCGAAAGCGCAAATGCGCTTTCGTTAATTCGATGGAGAAACATTTGTTGACTTTCGAGGGAAACTCGAAGAGTGATCTAACCATTTGCATGTTGGTAGGAAAAAAACAGTGACAGATGTTCAGTCCGGAAAATATATTTAATTTACAGAACAATCATGGAAATTTGTTCGTCAAATGGCTTATTCTCAGCTTGCAGATATGAGAATTGGTCTGATGGTTTAAAAGGAAGAAAACGACCGCAATTTTCTTTTTTTTACACCTTTCTTTGGCTGCGCCGTGCGTTAAGTGACACAAGGCTCCACAATTATCAGTTCTGTCAATCTCTTACGGGTCTCACCTCCGTCGAAAGCGACATTCGTGTGAATTCTAGTATGTAATCTTCTTTAAAATATACATTGTTATCGTTGTGTTATATCGAATAATACGGCGAACACGGGGCGCCATTTTTGGCATTGAAATGAAAATAAAGCTTAAACCGCTTAAAACGCAAGATTATCCTTCGACGAAACAGTTTGCCACTTAAATCTGACTTAACACTTGGAGCGAGGGTAAACTATATTTTCCATTTCGTAATGCACTAAACTGCAGAGAAAATGTTTACGCAATTTTGTCTTCTCGATAAAATTAAAAAAAAAAAAGGTGTTCGGCGGTGTTCAATCACCATTGCAAGCTGCTGCCTAGAAAACCAAGGAAGTTAGAAAGACTACACATGCTAAAGTTACGTTGCTAAGAGAGAAGGTAACTCTCGTCCAACAAACCTTCCAGCTCCTTGAACTCATCACCTAGAGCGAAAAATGCACAAGGGGTTCTCCTTTCTTTAGACTGTTAAAATTTCCAAATCAGTCAGACCCCCGCCAAGAAAATGAACAACACAAATCTGTAAGGCAAACGGCAAGAGAATTATTTAGTTTAAGATCAAGGATACAAGAGGGAGGGAGATTTCTTACGGTGAGATGATCATTTAAAGTTCGCCTCGTCATGAACCATCTTACCTCGAGAGACCAGAGCTAAAGGTTTCGCTGGAAACTATGGTCAAATTTGCGGTTGATTCCGAACAGACGAGGTTCGTGTCTGAGATTCTAGCGTTTAAGTGGTTTTCCACGCAAATGGAACGAAAGCTGTACCTACTACTGAAACATCCGGTTAAAAGCACCTATGTCTCCACTAATCTATGCTAAAAAGGTGACATTTTCAGAAAGGGAAATGAAACTACTAAAATTTGCATAACACAAGAGCTTCATGCTTAGACGGCTGAAATGACTGACAGCAAGCGAAAAACGCACCTGACCAAGGCCTATACTTGAGAGTAGAACCTTAGCCAGGAAAACCTTTGAAGTGAGATAATCATGTAAGGTGTTATCTGAAGTCTGCTTTCGTTGATCCGACCTCTTCGGCCAAAGAAGTAAATTTAAAATTTACTTTCCTACTTATTACATAATATTTATTTCTGTACAGCCCTGAATTAAGAAATTGAAAGACCACGTCGCTGTTTGTTTATACAGCTTAGAAAGCAAAATAGCAATTAGGTTAACTCTGGCCGGAAAATGAATAAAGTTTGTTTAGAAAGTTCGTGAAACATTCCATTAACTTTAGAATAGAAATAATTTGTTGGGTCTTTTGTATTGTCCTTTTGATTTTAACCTATCATTTTTTTCGCCTTTCGGAAAGCTCTTGTATTCTTAAAACAGACTTAACTTGAAAACAACACAGCCACCTGGCAAGGTTGTGTTTTGACAACAAGTAATTAAAGCCTGTTACCAGATCATGGCACTGTTTAAATTCATCTTCCCTCCAAGATTAAAATTTGCCCCACCGACAAGAATTGGCACTGTCTCAATTTAGCCTAGTAGGGGTCAGTACCAAAGAAAAACCTTAAAGGAATTTTGAAAACCGAAAGAGACATCGATTACTTAAACATCAGCGAGTGGTATTTTTCCCCTCCGGGAAATACCAGCTATAAACACAACACCATCAAAACAAAAGAGAGGAAGTCTCAACTGACATGCAACTGAAAATGAGAATTGTGCAGATAGTACCCGGGAGAGGGGAGCTCCCATGCGAAAAGGTCAGGGATGCACTTCGCCTCGCTTAAGGAAGTAAATAGGGAATTTAGGTGTTCAGGGCGAAATGCTACTATTTTTGGCTGTCAAGGTATCTTTTAAGGTTGCAATTGAAGAAATCATAAATGTCACGTTCATTTTAAAGTGGTATCTGTATCTTTTAATTAGGGGCTCAAATCAAGCTCAAGCCACACCAAGATTGTTCTCCTGTAGGGATCCGGCAAGCATTCCCGGTCTTTTGACATGGGAGGTCCCCCCGTAAGATAGTGGTGGATTTGGAAATTCTGCTTTTCGAAAATCTTGTATAAATCGAGGAACTGGAAAGCAGACTATTACGAGCTACAGCAAATAACGGGGTAAGGTCTGAAATAAAGAGCAACTACGAAAGAGAATCACTAAAACACAGAATGCCATACAACCAATCAGAATACAGGAAAGCCGTTGTATAGCAATAGAGCATCTTTTCCGTGTTACATAGCTTCATCTAAACACAAGGGGGGCTGGAAGAATTGGCGACAGTTATATTATGCAAACCCTCGACTGCGTCTCGGGTTTGCATAATTTTCGAGAATTCTCCCAACCCCCCAAGTGTTTAGATGAGGTTATGTAAACACAGGAAAAGTGCTCTATTGCTTTTAAAAAATATTTCTCAAAACTACGCACGTATCTAAAACGTGAAAACCGTGTTTACACTCTCATCTAAACACACCTATCGACCAATGAGAGCGCGCGTAGTATCTCACTTATTTAATAATCGACGTTATTGCATCTAATCTTCCCATCATGCTCCGCGCGTATGCCGCATTGGTTGTGTTTAACCACTGTATTTTCTATGGCATGGTATAAAGTAGTTATGCAACGCCCTCTCGAGGAAACCTGTGATTATTCTCTATTTTCTCCTCACGATGTTAACTCAAAGTGAGTCTTGCAAATTACGAGAATTGAGAGACTTATCACGAGGTAACCTCATTTCAATGAAAGAGAAACAGTACGACCCTGGAAACTAGATTGATGACAAAGGAAACGATGACATATATATTCCCAAAATCTCCTCACTGGTTTCAAATGAAACGCACGGATACCACAAATGAGAAATTGCCATAGAGCTTTTCCACTCACGTGGCCAGCAGCCATGCAAATTTATTGGGACAAAAGAAAGTGTTTACATAAGAAAAGAGTTCAACTCCCACAGAATTGTTTTGGTACACCAACATGGCCACCATTTCATTGTTTTGGAACACCAATATAGCTGCCGTGACGTCATGTGAAAATACCATAAAAGGTGCAATTATTTGAGTTAACTTCACTCTATCAAATACAAGCATACACACTGAACTTTTGATACAATACAATATCATGATTTTATTAATTCCTTCAACTAATCAGCCATATGTCATTTTATTTAATTAATAGCCGTCATTCTTGATGAGCGAGTTCAAATGTCCTAAAAACCCTGAAACAGAGATTACAGGCTCTTCCACAACACTAACAATAAGCGTCAAGGGCTTCGGACGGAAAAACGAAGAAAATACGATAATGTATCGAGGATATCACGAACTTAAGCTAATCAATAAAAACTTTTTATTTCGAACACGAATGTAACGCGTGTGTCAAAGCATCATATTTTATGTCTTGTCTATAAAGATTCTCTAAAATAAAACTAAAGCAAAGGAAACAAATAACGAAAGAAAAGCTAAATGAATATCACCTATTATCCGTACATTTTCGGTTGCCGTTAAGCGATAATGTATTTTTTGTTTGGTTATAACCAATTTCTTTGGGTCTGTAACAATGATGGATAAAAATGGATGGATAAAAATTCACTTTTATCATAAACTAGACATAATTTATTGTATGTCACCGTTCATCAATTTATTCCTTTCTGAGCCGTTCTGGCCGGGTTATTTTGTTCGAAAGTTGTTTAAGGCTATCCCAGGATTAAAAGGTAGCCTAACGATCGAGTTCTTTTTTGATACAAAAATGTGTTTAACTGCTTATGTTTTGAGTAGTTTGAGATTTTTCAAGCCCAAAACCAAAGAACAAACAATGTAAACAGAAATCTCACCGGAAAGTTGAAACCAAAATCAAATTTCTCGCTAAACCTGGGTTACCTGAATATGATCTCGCTCTGTATATCATAAAAAATTGAGTAAATTTTGTCATAGCATTATTGACTATACTGTATACATACATGGCCATCCTTAAGCGAGCTGTGTCACAATATTTTTTTGCTACGAGAAAAATCTTTCGCTTACAGACAAAAAAATTGTATTTGCGTTATTACGAGTCTGAGCTAGGGCGCTTGCTATAATTCTATAAAAATTTTAGCTTAAAACAATTCAAGCTTGTCCATTCATATACACTTAAATCTCCGTCAGACAGAGGCTATATAATATAAATCAGGACGATCATTTAGGAATACGATCTATAACGGTCGGCTTTAGGTAACGAAGGGCGAAGTACGCTCGGGGTTTTTTATCGGGGAATTTCCAATCATGTTTCTAGCCGACGTCATCTCCGATTGGAGACAAACGACAGCCGGAAATACGTTCGCAGGCTAATGGCGACTTGGGCGGAGACAATGTTTAATGACCTGGCGGGACTTTCGCTGAACTACTTGCGGGACACTAATAAAGCGTGAGAAAGATGTTCCTTGGTGCGTCCTAGCTAACCTTCCAGAATCCTAAACAACAGGGTCCTAGAAGACTTCACTGACATAAGCGGAAAATGTCGACAGTTACAAACGTACTTAACCCTTTACTAACCAATGCCCATCGTTCATGACCCACAAAAAAGGAAGGAAGGAAAGGGTTTAAAATTTTGATATCCGGGTAAAAGCAGCTAAAGATTACCATATTGTACTTTGTCGTTTACTTAGAGTCCTGATCGGCTTGATCTCGGCCACGCGGAAATCCGAGTTACGCCGAATAGCTTGAGCCGGAAATACAACTTCACTTCCGTTGTTGAAGATTTTGCTTCCGCTTCCACTTCGCTCGCTGACTGTTCCAAAGGAAACTCGCCTCAGGTCTCCCGATCCAAACTNAAAAAAAACTGCATTTCCGCTCAGGAAAAAAGAAAAAATGCTCCCTACTTTTTCACGTAATTGGGATTTCAATCAGAAGATAACAACAACACCTCGACGACAAAAGAATGCTGCAGTACGGTACGTTTTTCCTCAGACCTACAGATGGGATCCTGTGTACAAATTCATGTAACAGGCGCGTAATGTCATACTTTCAAAACACGAGTCGTGACAGGGGCCATACTCGGGATGGCTCCTATTCGTGACGATTCCTTTTTCCTTACACCACGCACCTCACACGTCGCACGTGAGGAAACTTTTATCAAGGTTTATAAAAATCTCACATAGACAACCCACGTTTAACCAAACACGTGTTACTACTCAACAGCACCGAAGCTCTCTTAGTGTTCCTTTCAAGAAAGAATCCGAGCATTAAGTTTCGATAACCTGTTTCGGAAAAGCTTCGACCCGGAAATTTTGGTGTTGTTGTGCGGTACCCCTATAAACTTATAATTTTTGACCAAAATATGTGTTTTTTTGATACTCTATTTCAGACCTGACCCAAACATTAATCCCCTAATTCAGACTTCTGAACTAATTTAGTATAAACCTGCAATCCTTCTTTCACGAATGCCGTTCTCTTATTGGCTCCGTTACTCACTATCTATTCTGTTGTAGATAATGAGCAGCCTAGCAGTGTGCGGTTGTTAACAATTCAAATGGCGGCCGCTTCATGGCGTTTTCAGTCGATGTGTCTGTGAAGAAGATAGTAGATTTATACTAAAACAATTCGATTCTTCGCTCGATTTCTAAGCGCGATTAAAATCTCGAGCTCATAATCTAATTGTTAATTAATATACACGTCTCCGGCTCAGGTAACCAGAAATGGCTTTAATTGGCGTGAACATTTGTGAAGAGGAGTCGAAGAGGCTTGCAATTCTTCAGTTGTAATGGGTCATATTATTATTAACTAGCCAGAGTGCAAAAGATCCAAATCTATACCCTATTTCAGGCCAAGATCGCTCGAATACCATACCCTTGGCGCCGCACATAGCTATTTAGTTGATGTAAGGGAGTATCTCCTTCCCTCTCCACTGGTTTTCAAACA